TCTTCGTCATAAAACGTTTTGCTACGCTCGTCGTCTCTCGCACACACACACCGTCTCTCCCTGTCTCTACTCGCTCGCTTGTTTGTCCTGCCCAGCCGCCACACGCCGCAGAGCGCGCTATCAACGCTACTTCAGCGCCGCTTTTCTAACATCGCTGCTTAATTACGAGCTTAAAACTAAAGACGCTAACGCTTCCTACACTATTGAAATAGTTTCTGTTCTGTATGACTGCAAGAGTAGCCATATAGAAGGTGGCCAACGGAGCAGTTGAAACGCAGCAGGCCTCCTAGCCACGTAGCTGAACATTATACATATTCATGTTATCTAAGAGTAGTTTTTTAGAGAGTAGTATTTTTAACCCATTCATAGGAAAGTTTTTGTTCAGAATTAAATTTTAAAGTCTGGATGGGACGTAGGGCCATCCTGTATAATATTCAATTGGATTAAGATGAGTAGAATTAGAATAATCAGTGGCATTAAAATCAATAGGCTTATCATTAGAACGACTATGATAACAGAGAATTCTTTTTTTTTGTTAAAATGTATTTTATATTTCTTGCTGTATGTTTTGGGTCGTTGTTATATAGAAAAATGAAATCATTTCTGAAGTAATTACGGATATAAGGTAACGTATTTTTAAATATATCTTTGTATTAAAATTGATTCATAATTTTATTGATTCGATTTGTCATATTAGTTCTGATCCATTTTGAAAAAAAAATATTCTCACCATAATATTTTCACTATCATATTAATCATGCCTAAAATCCAATTTGGATTTAAATATTCACATTTACGACATTTAACATTCCATATTAGTCCTGATCGAAGAGAATTTGATACTTCACTACTTCGATATTTGTGTTAGCAATGAAGTTCGCAATAATGCTGCATGTTTATATTTCGGTTATTAGAGAAAAAGTATACATTTTTAGAGATTGTAGTTAGCATGAAAATATAGACGATGGTTGTTTCCATCTTTTTATACAGTTAATCATAGCAATTAATTAATAAGAAGCCTTTGTCACTAAAATTCTGAAAAGGGCGGATGTACCTTGGTCTTTCTTACTTATTTCGAGCAGCGAAATATACTAGATGGTAAAGAAATCATTGATATATTTACTTTTTGATATCATATCAATTACAAGAACAATTACAAGAAAAGATATACTAATTTTCATCGAATTTGTTCCTTCAATTAATAATTATATAATTTATATTTTTCTTTCAATGATGACATTTTTTCAATACAGGTCACTCTCCTAAATAATGTTCAGAGTTTTAGCCTCATCGATTATAATTTATAAAAAAATTATTAAGAAAAAAGTTTTTGTATTAAGAAAAAAGTTTTTGTAATTATTCAGTTTAGAGTTAGCTTCATTGAGTGAGTGAAATCTTACGAATCATTTAAAATTTGTCAATAAAATTCATCAACGTATCCGATTTAATAACTTTAAGTTATTTGAACAATGAAATGTTTATTTGACCTACATAATATGCACAATGAAGAAAATTATTTTATTTGCACTAGATTGCGAATATATAAGCAGTTTTTCCATAACAAATGAGAAGAAACGCTATGTCTCTGACCACGATCATTAGTTTGCTATGACCAGAGACAGTCACAACTTGTTATTGAATGACCATGTACAAATTTCATGGCATGGATCGAAGGATTCTTGATACGTAACTATGTCTTTTTGAATTATGACGTTGTGTACACATATACAAAATAAATAAATTTTGCAACGTGCACTTAAATTTCTCAAAGTGAACTTTTAAATTTGTCTAGATCGAATAAAGTAATGTGTCATGAAATGTTTAAACTTGATAAATGTTTAAGTTATTAGCCTGAAACGAAAAGAAATTTGAAAAATTTCATTTCCAATTTCTGAAACTGAACAGAAATGTAAAATGTGTAGAAATAATACATATCTAGTTATCGTGCTTTATCCTTAATTGAACGATTGCATTAACATTTAACATGACCTACATTAGATATGAAAGATGTGAGGATATTATTAAATAGTTAATAATTCAATGACAAAATTAACTAAAAATTAGATATTGCGAAGATTAAAGGAAAATCGTATATTTTTTTACTGAGATAGTCTTATCTGAAGTGTTTATTCTAAGACAGAGATATTTTAACGGCTTCAATTTGTCACAATTCTGCAGCGCATCTGTGACTCGCCTTCTTGGTGAAACGCTCCATCTTTTTGCTTCACGATAATGATAATCAAATGCCATTCTTATAACAAATTTACGTAGCAAACTAGTTATATTGTAAAACTTTTATCCTTTATTAGTGTTTTTACGGTAATCTCTTATATTATCAATGTAAGAAAAGATGGAAAGGTCAAACGAAGATCTATTGAAGATGAATGGATTATGATATAAATATTACAATTTTTATTTGTAGCTGTAAAAGAAAGAAAGATGAAAGAAATAACATTAAAATAGAAAGTTCAATTACATTCGATCATCAAGAAGCACGGTAGTGCCTCGCGCAAGTTCGTTCAACGAAGTTGCGCTCGAACGACGCGAGATATATCGTGCCTATATTATGCGAAACTGCGAGTTGAAACGAGGTGAGATATTCATATCTCAGCAATGGCTAAACTGATCGAGGTTTTTTCAATTCTAATTGATTCGGCCTTAAAAAATAGGAAGAAAAGTATCCTTGTGTTTTTTGTGTAAGTTGTCTCTGAGTGGAATCATATTAAGGTAAAGCCCGAATCACGGAAAATTTCGATTCAAGAAAAAAACGTAAGACGCACGGGAGTGGGGAAATATGTACATCTCGTTTTTCCGACACCAGAGGCGCTATGAAAACGCTGAAGAAGTAGACAACAGCGAATGCCAGCGAGTAACTGAGAAAGAATGAGAGAGAGAGAGAGAGAGAGAGAGAAAGAGAGAGAGAGAGAGAGAGAGAGAGAGAGAGGGAGAGAGAGAGAGAGAGAGAGAGAGAAAGAGAGAAGGAGAGAAGATCGAACGGGCGTCATTACATATACTTGTATACCAAATTCAAGTTATTTTTTTATATATGTATGTAACATGTATATCGAATTCAAATTATTTTTTTCTCAAGATATATATGTATGAAACATATAAGTTTTTGCAAATAAAACTTATCTAACTATAAAAAAGATGTGATATAAAAAATATAAAATTTACCTTTTTAAACAAAAAAGTAAAAAGAGGCGCCAAGTACACACGCAACACAATAATATTGTGTTATTTTTAGAAATCTCAAACTCAAATTTTTTTTTCAAGATATATATGTACGTAACATAAGTTTTTATAAGTAAAACATAACTATAATAAAACTCTATATCAAAAAACACTATTCTACTGTATAAAAAAAGTAATATATTACTGTTTTAATATATTACTTTTTTTATACAGTAGAATAGTGTTTTTTGTAGAGTTTTATTATAGTTATGTTTTACTTATAAAAACTTATGTTACGTACATATATATCTTGAAAAAAAATTTGAGTTTGAGATTTCTAAAAATAACACAATATTATTGTGTTGCGTGTGTACTTGGCGCCTCTTTTTACTTTTTTGTTTAAAAAGGTAAATTTTATATTTTTTATATCACATCTTTTTTATGGTTAGATAAGTTTTATTTGTAAAAACTTATATGTTTCATACATATATTATATATCTTGAGAAAAAAATAATTTGAGTTTGATATACATGTTACATACATATATAAAAAAAAATATAATTTGAATTTGATATACATGTATATGTAATGACGCCCGTCATTCGATTGCGGGTCAACAGGATCGATCTCATCAGCTATGCTATCGAAAATAGCAGTCCTCAAAATTAAAGAACGATCTCCCTGGACGATGAATCAATAAGATCCGGTATTGTTTTTTCGACAGCACAGCTGATCAGATCGTCCCAGCTGACCAGCAATCAAATGACGGGCGTCACCAATCGTGATGCATACCAGTATTCTTACCTTATTATCTTTAGAATTGAGTTTTTACCTGTCTTACGCTCCAACCAAATAACAAAAGAAAGGCAACTTTCTGTTCGTTACGAATGCGGAACACGTTTAAGGAACAATACACTTGACTTTGCCTAAACACAACATAGGCCTATCGAGGTTGCAAATGTAGGTAATCGTTCTTTCACAGCCAGGTGAAAACCGGTTTATTCGCTATTCAGTAATCACACTCGACATATGGATGTCTGATCCCATCGTCTTTATAAGCGTGAATTTCTGTTTTTTTATATTTTTGCATATCGAACATAAAATCGAATATCATGAATAATTATTTTATGATATAAGAAAGCAATATTTTATATTTCATATTTTGTATTTCGTATTGTTCGTTTTATACATGATAGTTAATAGCTGATCTTTGCTATTGAAGATTCTTTTAAATTTATCTTTGAAAAACGAATAGAAATATCTTCGTTATTGGTCTTACTTAATTCTCTTTACTAAATAGTGCTATAGTTCTTAACGCTTCTAGTAAAAGTAAATGTAGATATTTTATGACGAATATTCGGTTGAAATGGGTTAATATAAATCGTTTTATGGACTGTTCTATAACTGACAATTAGAGAGTCGATAAAGAAATTTCACTTTCTCTCATCGAACGTAAGACACAGTGTTCGTATATTTCTGTAAAACATGATTAATAAACGTGATTACGCGTACAAAAGAAAATTAAATAATAAATCTTGTTAGTAGCAAAATCAATGGAAATCATCACGTCACGGAAAATATGTCGTTGTTTCTGGAAGATGGTGTCGGTAAAGTATTTTGATACAAATAAAAGCAAACAGGTTATGAAACAAATATGTGCGTCACTGATCATGCATATTTATTCATAAAGGAATAATTGTGATTTTCAAATAGATAATTGCACGATTAAACATAATTATTTTTAATGATATAATGCATGAGATGAATATAATATATGCACATTATGCAAATTATACATTATGCAAATTATATATTCTTTTTTGCAGTTCAGACGATCCGTGCAAGATGTCTTGCAACCACACCATGATGATAATTTTCTGCTTCGCTGGTTGAGAGGTATAGATCTGATAACATATTAGTATTATTGAGGGAAACATGCTTGTTGATTTCGTTGAATATTATCCGTTATTATATGTATACTGTGTAATCGTGCATATCGCAAACTAGAAGTGCATTATTGTTATTTTATGTTACAATCATTATTATTCGATTCCATTAAGTATTGAAATAGTATTTAATGAAACAATTTAATTGCTTGGAAGGAAGTTACGAGTACTGTTGGAAATCAGTGCAATGTAATTTCTATTCTTTTTTATGTGATAAACTATCATTTATACAATATAGAGTAATATTCGTTCATCATTAATGATTAATTAATTTTATTGTATCAATAATAATTATTAATATAGTAAAATGGTAATTAATAATAATTATTGTTATTATTAATACAATAAAATTAATCACAATTAATTAATCATTAATACAACAATCATATATCTAACTAAAAATTAGCTTGAATTATAATATTCATCAGAAAATCAAAATTCATCAGAAATCAAAATTCATCAGAATATATATGTATTATTCTATTAATTGTTTTATATATTATATTTCATATATTACATATCGTATATTAATATTAATATTTTGATTAATTATTTATTCGCTCACGCATTATATTATAAGACATTATATAATATTCCACAATAAATTAATATTTATTTTCTACTTTCTTTTCTTTGTTCAGCAAGAAAATGGGATCCTACTGTGGCTGAGAAAATGTTGAGAGATGTAAGTGACATATAATATCTTCTTTCGCTTTTTCTTTTTTGGTAGATAGATAAATTAATATACAAATAGACATTTCATAGTATATAGAAAAACAAAATGATCATTTACAATTGTCATAACTAAATTATGCTGATTACATATTCGATCCTTATTCGTGAATTAGAACATTTTGTACAACACAATTCGCGTTGAACAAAAGACGTAACTGAATCGAATTAAGAAAATCTGAAGAAACACATTCCGGATATGGTCACTGAGCCTTTTAAATTTCTCTACTACACGAATTACTCACGAACCATTAAATATTAACGCGGCAAGCATAAACTTCGCAAGCCGTCATTATAGGTCGTTGTACTCTGAAGATTAACTCTTTCCATGTCGAAAATGAAGTTGTATTTCAACAAGAAATCTTCATAATATGTCTAATATTAATATGTTGAATGCTAGATAAATTTTATACAATTTGCTCACAGCATTGGAAAAAAGTTTTTGTTTTGCGATGTATATTATGATAAAATATTACATAAAACGGTTGAATTGTATTATCATGTTTTATGCATTTATTTTCCTAGTCTGAATCATAACGTTGATTTGACGTTAAAATGGTCGATGAAACGTTGAATCAATGTTAATTCAACCTTCATTGACATCGAATCAACCTTAAGTCAAATATTGTGGTTCTAACTGGATTACTAAAAGTCATTAATAACTTCCATGTCTCTGGAATGCATTTGATGTATTTTGCATTAATATTTTACTTATATTTACCAAAGTCAGTTATTTCAGTTGCTTCAGTTATTTCTCATATTCTTGTCGAGTCTGTTCAACATTCAAGTAATGATCTATTATATTCCTACAGACTGCATTTCATCTCCTGCATTAATTTTTTTAGATTGCCCTTTTCTGTAATTAATATGCCATCAAATGCGAAAAATCATATAAAAAAGGTACATTCTATGAAGATTGTATTGGCTCACCCTTTCTTTATTTGCCATGTTTTAAAATAATACATCACAATATGCATATACGAGGGTGGTCCGATAAGTACTTAGCCTACAAAAGAAAAACGAAAATTTTGGAAAAGTGGCGATTTATTTCTCAACATAGTCTCCTTTTAGCTCGATACACTTGACCCAGCGATGCTCCAACTTCTTTAACCCGTCTGAAAAATACGTTTTCTCGAGGTCTGCAAAGTAGGCCTCCGTGGCGGCGATGACCTCCTCATTCGACTCAAATTTCTGCCCGGCGAGTGACTTTTTCAAGTTTGGAAACAAAAAGAAGTCGCACGGGGCCAAATCTGGAGAATACGGTGGATGGGGCAGCAGTTCGTAGCCCAATTCGACCAATTTGACCGTGGTGTGGGCGGAGGTGTGAGCCGGTGCGTTGTCATGGTGGAAGAGTACTTTTTTCTTCGCCAAATAGGGCCGTTTTTTCTGCAATTCGGCGTCGAATCGGCCCAATAATTCGGCATAGTACAGCCCTGTGACCGTTTTGCCATTCTCCAGGTAGTCGATGTAGATCACACCTTGTGAATTCCAGAAAACGGTGGCCATCACCTTTCCGGCCGATAGGACAGTCTTCGCCTTCTTCGGAGCACGTTCGCCGGGTGAAGTCCACTGTTTCGACTGTTCCTTGGTCTCTGGTGTGTACCAGTGGATCCATGTTTCGTCGACGGTCACGAAACGACGCAGAAACTCCTTCGGATTGCGCTTAAACAGCGTCAAACACTGCTCTGAAGTGGTCTCACGGTTGCGCTTGTTGTCCGGAGTGAGCAAACGCGGCACCCATCGCGCCGACAGCTTTCTCATGCCCAAAATTTCATGCAGGATATGACCCACGCGGTCTTTTGAGATGCCTACTGTCTCAGCTATCTCGCGCACCTTCAATCGGCGGTCTGCCAATACGAGATCGTGGATTTTTGTCATGTTATCCTCCGTGGTAGCCGTTTTCGGGGCACCTGGGCGTGGCTCATCGAAAACCGACGTGGGACCACGTTGAACCTCGTTAAACCAATTTTTGACGGTCGCCATCGAAGGAGAAGAGTCACCGTACACAGCATCCAAGCGCTCTTTGATTCGCTGCGCGATTTCTCTTCCAAAAACAAGAATCGAATCACCGACCGATATTGCTCTTTTTCCATTTTTCTAAAATCCGCGGACACGCCCGCTTCCACACGCGGTCAAAACAAAACTACGAGTCCGATTCGGTTGAAATTTCGACAGTAGCCGTCTACGAGAATGTACTACACGATAGTAAATTTCTCTTGCGATAGTGGCGCCATCGGGCGGTGAGGCTAAGTACTTATCGGACCGCCCTCGTATAATACATACATAATTATAAATAAAACTATTTAAGTATACTGTATAATGCATTAGTTTTTTTATATTAATACTTACTTATTATAGCAACAATGAAAACAATGCAATAATAATGACAATATTGAAAATTTTACAGATATTGTCATTTATTAGAATTAAATGCTTTTATTAATCTTGGTATCACCGGTCACCGATGATCCTCACGGCGCATCCTCACTAACAAATTGAGTACTGGTCATCAATGATCTTCACAATATTCGATGTATTAAATACCATTTTAACGTGAGAAAAACAGTCTCGTTTTCATATACACACACGAACACGCACACGTGTGCGCATATACCCTCACGACAGGCATACATATGCACGCGTATACATGTATGTACATATGTATAAACATTACATTATAGTGTCGAATTTTTCTTGTTAATAAAACGTATTAAAAGATAGTTTAGATATAGAAATAACTTTTATAGTATACTTTAGATATTTTAGAAATTCTCTAAGCGCATATATAGGGTGTCCCAAAATTGTAACACACTAACTTCATAGGTGCGTAGAGCTAAGCGAGAGAAACGAAAAAGTCCTCTTCCATTTAGCGATATCTCGTATAATTTTTAGTAATAACCACGTAAAGTTTGTCGTTTGTCACGCCCATCGCAGACTATAGACGCTCCGGCGAGGCAATGAATTATCGCCTCGTTCATCATTGCCTTGCCGTATGCCGGCGTCAAAGCGCCAAGAGGCTATCATGACGGTCAGCGCAAGCTACGTTACCGCTCAGCCTCGACGCACACAGCTCGCTGCAGAGCGTCTACAGGCTGGGCATAACAAACGCTAAATTTTACGCCGCTATTACTAAAAAAACTATGCGAAATATCGCTAAATGAAAGAAGACCTCTTCGTTCCTCTCGCTTAGCTCTACGTTCCTATGGAATTAGTGTGTTACAATTTTGGGATCTAGATTGTCGCTTCCGAACGACATCTCTTAAGGTTATCTAGGGAGAGGAGAATGTCGTGAGCGTGGAGCGTCAGGTAGCTCAGTGGTTTAGAGCAGTCGCCCGGCAAGCGAAAGACACGGGGTCGATTCCTGGTCTAGCGACTACCGTGTTCTCGATATTTTTCTCTCTTCGGAACGAAAATAAGATGCGGGTCCTGAACGCACGGCGTCCCGTCGCCACCTAGTACGCCCTCCTTCTTTCATGGTGAAGCCGTTCTTTCATCATGAAACTACGCGTACTAGGTGGCGACGGGAGACATCGTGCGTTTGGGACCTGCATCTTATTTTCGTTCCGAAGAGAGAAAAATATCGAGAACGCGGTAGTGCCGCTAGACTGGGAATTGAACCCGGGTCTTTCGCTTGCCAGGCGACTGCTCTAAACAACTGAGCTACTTGACGCTCCACGCTCATGACATTCTCCTCTTCCTACCCTTTTTTCTTTTTTTTGGTCACGCAGGGGAAATCCATCATGGATACCCTCGGCCCTTGGGGGGCCGAGGGTTATGTCAGACTCCTACTGACTAAAACCCCTGCGGGATGCCTACCTGTCGGACCGTGAGGAGGGGAGTCAGGGGTACTGCTCCCGCATTCCCTCCCCAACCCCCCGGCCCCAGGACTCCCTTTCGAGAGCCCCTCGCCACCTGTATACCGCGCCCTGTTCCGCAAAGGGAATCCAGGGCGCGGTCCCCGGCGGGTTGCCCCGCTGGTTGGCCTTCTGGTGTCTCCAATAAAGAAGAGAGGGGACATTCACCCTCCCTCCTTACCCCCCATCCCTGCTAGTCAAGGAGGGGAGGATTTTGGGGGAGTGGATCCAGCTCTAACTGGGTGTTCCACTACCCCCTGTCCCTACTTATCTGACGCGCGGGGGGAACCAGGGGATCCATCACGGACGAGTCCTTCAATGGACCCGCCCTATTCGGATTCCCCGGACCCCCCTCCCGCGGACGGAGTCGGGCCCGAGGCGGCCGAGAAGGACTTGGCCCCCTGTTGTCCAGAGGTCCTTCCTCCTCTTCGGCCGGTGCCACCTCGGGTCCGTTGCCAATGCCCCCCCCCCCCGGGGGAGCGCCGACCTCGCCTCCTGAAGCGGTTCTTCGGTCGACGCTCCCACTCGGCGGCCTCCTTCTTAGACATAACGTCCCTGCAGAAGGAGGCCGCCGCCTCCCACACCTCCTCGCTCTCGCACATGGCCTGAACCAGGTACGGGAGCGAGATGTCCTCCTTCCGGCACCCCACCGCCCCGGCCAGGACACGGCGCTCCTCACTCCAGACTGGACAAGCAGCCAGAGTGTAGTGCGCCGTGTCCATAAGCACGGGGCAGTGGTGGCATCGGGTGGTGAGCTCCTTCCCGATCCGGTGCAGGTACTTACCGAAGCACCCATGCCCTGTCAGCACCTGCACCAGATGGAAAGTCAGTCCACACCCCCGCTTGCCTGCCATTTCGGGCAGGCAAGGGCGGACAGCCTCGGCCGTCTCGCGCCCGTACCCCCGTGGGTCGGTCAACATGTCCCCCCACATCCCCAGGATACAGGCCACGGCCTGGGACTTCAGACCTCTCAGGACCCTGGCCGTCAGCTCCTCCTCCTCGCGGAGCTCCTTGGTCCTCCAATAGAGGACCCGCCTCTCCTCGGCGAGGAGCTCCACTGGAGGGGAACCGGCGAGGGTGGTCGCCGCCATGTACGATA